AGAGAGAGAGAGAGAGAGAGAGATTGTGTGTTTGTGCGATTTTGAAAAAAAGGAGGGGGGAGGGGCAGACAGATGGATAAAGTCTTCGGATCATTATCTGCTAAACACGGTTTGTAACTCATATTTTTACTAATTGAAATTAATTATTGTTTAAAGTGCGTTAAGTCCCCTGAATAACATGTTTTTGTTAATTTCCTTCCACGACACGAGGTAACGCATCAGCGAGAGAGTTTCCTTGAACTGAAAAAGAACCAGTAATGCAGACGAAATAATGACCCAAATGTTGTAGTTACAATAACTGGAACAAAGAGTTGTGAAAGTGAAGAAAAGGTAGAACCAGAAAGTAATTAAACGAAACGTATAAGTAGAAGGACGAGTCTTTGGTCTCAACACGGAAGTAAAACCTCTAGAAGAAGAGCGCCCTCCAGCGGAATAACGGAAGCAACTGTAGGGTTAAGTTTACACCAGCGACGAACAGCAGAAGCCGCTGTGACTCATGAGACTGTGGGGAATGTTGTGATTTAATTTCTGTAGGAATCAAAAACTTGTACAAGCAGCATAAGGACTCCACTGGTAAGTCAGTGTAAATTTCAACATTTATTGCATTTGCCACACTACGTCTCTTTGTGGCTGTGAGTGGAAAATGACTTCTGGCATGAATTGTCTCATGTTTCGTCAACTCGGCGGCGACACAGGTCTGGGAAACATGATGTCGTTTCAGACGAAAGTGTCGCCAGTGTCTGTTTTTGTTTTCATGCAGTCAAACTCCAGGTTATTCTTTTAGGACATATTCTACTAGATTCTAGTATGAGTCTGCTATAAAAGGAGAAGCAGCATGATTGATAAGACCAGACAAACGTCTCAACGATCTATCACATTCCGCTCTCAGACTTCATTCCAAGAAAACGTTTGTTGACAATGAACGGTTGGCCTTTGTAGAACTGATCTAATATCTAGATCTAGATCTAGATCTAGAGTCTAGAATCCTACTTACTGTAGATTTCTAGTTGTAGCATTATACTGACTGGATTCTAGTTTCTGTGTGGTCTTTATATTTAATTATTCTATCTCTTGGTCAAGCGAGGAAGAGCTGAGGACGGAATTGCATGGACACCAGCCGTATTAAAATGAACATTTAAGTAAGAGTAAGTTCAGTAAGAGGATTAAAAAGATCAGATTCCTGCTTTGACTTTGAGGGTGACAGTCTAACCGCAAAACTGGAAATGTCTGACCATTCATGATATGACTAAGTGCAGTTCCTAGCATACCATGAGTATCTCAAGCAACATCCTGAACATGACTAAGAGAAAAAAATTGTTCCTTAGATTTCAGTTCGTAAAGCTTGGTTCTGGTAAAGTTTGATTGGTGTCTAAAAAGTCTAGGCCTAGACAGAACGACAGTCACCATATGAACACATTCTTCTTGTATTACAGTAATGAAAGTGAGAAAGATTTACAGCCAGTGACTACAATCAAGGAAAAAAACAAAAATTTTCTACTTCAGGGCCTAGGTATTTCAATGGAGCATGGTCACTACTGGTATTAAAACCTTCAACAAATTCATTAGTATCTTTAATATACTGTCAAGCCTGGTCAAAGGTGTCAGAGCTAATACTGAATGCGGTTGTTTTTCTGGACTCTGGACACATAAAAGTAGGCAGTAAAATTACAGCTCACATTGTGTCTCAGTGGATTATTGATCTGGTGTGTCTGTTTTTCTAGCAGTTGCAGAAGGAGTACAGTATAAATTTAGTTAATGATCCAAGGCCAGTCAAGACACATTAATTACATCAATATTCGTAAAAAAGCAGCATCTCTTAAAATACTGCAAATATCTTTGTTTTTTTGCTTTTGTGATATATTTGCACCTAACAAATACCCAGTGTTAGTAAAGAAACGTTTTAGGTTGGGACATGAAGTATCAAAATTGGATTGCACTTAATGATCACTCCAGACAGGAGTTCTACATACAGCCTTTTAGAAGTAGAGTGTAAAGGCTTGAAGGAATGTAAGCTAGCTAAGCAGTGTTCATGAACTATAGAATCATAAAATGCCGTCTATTACTATTATTTTATAATAGTTTGTGATCCTGTATTTAAGTGGGCATGTACGGATCACCTCCCTTTTCCCACTGTGATATTTTCTAAAATCAGTGTTAGTAGCTTAAATAATTGATTATTTATGTTACAAAATATCTCACACCTTAGACATAAAAAAATAAGGACATACTAAATGAGTCATGATATAAAGTTGACTCTATGTTGCACTTGACAGAATTTACTGAAGACTTATACTCGTCATGGGTGGGTTCTGCCTGGACATAACCATGTTTATGGTCAGGAAACTCTGCAAAACGATTAATGATAAAGGAAGACTGGTTTGGACAAAGAAAGAAATTTATTTGAACTGCTACTTCTTTTTCACCTCTTTCTATATTTCTTCTCTCCCTCCTTCTCCGCTAAATTATCTCTTCCTCCTCCTCCTCCTACACTCCTCTCCTTCTGCTTCCTTCTGCTACTGATGCTTGTTAAAATAGCTGTTTGGAGTGCTTCTTTTTTCTACCTCCTTATCCCACTCTGCTGCTACCACATGGCCTCCTCCCACAACAAGAGGAAAGGAGTCCCAAGTTCTTGAAGAGTAGATTTCTGCTCTCCAGAGGGCTGGCCCTAACCTTTCAATAGGCAGCTTGTTTGAGTGTATTTCTGGAAAATACTGTTGCATTTGCTCTCTCACTCTCTCTCTCTCGCTCTCTCTCTTTCTCTCTCGTTTTCTTTTTTTTTCTCTCTCTCTCTGTCTCTCTGTCTGTCTCTCTTTCTCTGCTCTGTGTGTGTGACTCTCTCTGTGTCTCACCGTCTCTCTCCCTATCTCTCTCTCTCTCTTTCTTCCTCTCTCTCCACATGTGTAAAACTGTTTTCTTGCTTCCGTCTTTATGATAGAAAGACTTTCTTTTCCAGCTTGATAAAATTTGTGAAACGAGGAAGTGTTGTTGTTCATACCAGCTTTTTCATCTGTAGTGTGACTGTAGACAGGTGTTTTTTTTCTCGGATTTTTAGGAAGTTTCATTATTTTAAATGATACTCTGTTGAAAAAGTATTCAGTATGTGGATAATATATGAGTAAGGTTATCTTTTCTCTTTTTGCCTTTTTTTGTAACTTTTTCCTTGTCTGTCTTTCTGCCTGTCTGTCTGTCCGTCTGTCCATCTGTCTGTCTGTCGATCGATCTGTCCGTCTGTCTGTCTGTCTGTTCTCATCTCCTACCCCACCCCCTCCCTCTCTCTCT